CGCCCGCCCACTTGCCAGCTCGTCGCTGTCAGGATTGAAGGAATCGGCTCGGGCAGCCCCTCTCACCTGCCCTCCGCCGGAGCCAGGCGCTCGCCCTCTAAGTGCCCGAGCGCGCCGGAGGGGTCATCCTCGGAGGCTGTGCACCTGTCGGGAGCGCGGCTGCCCGGGGCCAGGTCCGCGTAGGGCTGCTGGGGCCCGGGGCGCGTTCCGTCTGCCAAGACCGCTCCTCTCCCTAAAGAGCGACCCTCCTTCCCCATGTTCCCCCAAATATCCCCGCGTATCTGCATGTGCCGGCGGCCTGGGACCCGCGGCGGGGACTCCCGGGTCTCTGCAGGGAGAGATGGACGCGCGGAAGCAGCTCGGGCGGCGGAAGGGGCCGTAGGCACTTCCCTTCAGTGGTAAAGAAGCCCTTCCTTCCAGCGGCCCTCTTGGCGCAGTGGGCAGCGCGTCAGTCTCATAATCTGAAGGTCCTGAGTTCGAGCCTCAGAGAGGGCACGGTCATTTTACTGTGCTCCAACGCGGCGTCTGCATTAAAACTAACGAAGGGTGCTTAGAAGCACCACAGGTAGAGGGATGCCCTCCGTAAAGCAGCGTCCTGCCCCGGCGGAACTAAATCCTGGCTCGGCACACAGATCCCCCAGCTTCGCTAAACGAGAAAGCCGCAGGCAAGAGGAAGGACCTCGGCCACCCTCTCGAGCCAAGAATAAAAACCTCTGAGAAAAAAACCCGCCGTGTTGGCGCGACTGGGGGGAAATGGACAAGGCGGTGCTGAGCGGTGCATCGTCTTTTACAACATCTGTGAAAACCAATCTCCTGGACCACTTCCGATCTCCCTTTTCTCCCCAGCTTCCAATACAAGGAGCAAAGCTGTGTCTGCACCTTCTTTTGAGGCTGTATCCAGAGACTGTACCCTCGCTCTATTCCAGACCAGCCTTTCGAGAGCGGAGCAACCTGGGTAGTCAGCGCCCGTCCTTCCACGTGGCCCGGGACCGAAAGGTGGGGCGTGGCACTGATAGCCCAGGCGACGCCAAGCTCCACCCAAGGCTCTAGCTGAAGACTTCAATTTTTGATTATTCGGTTTACAGTAGCTTCCAGTTACTTTGTGATTTAATCTCTAGTTATTATTTAGAAGTATATTTATTTTCCAAAATAGGGAGATTTCTAGTTTTATTATTCATTTCTATCTTAATTGGTTGCATTGTGGATGTAGGATATATATAATATGATATATATATTTCTTTTTAAAGTAAGTTTTTACCCACTGAGAGGCTTGAACTCACCACCCAGAGATCAAGAGTCACTTGCTCTACCAACTGAAGTAGCCAGGAGCCTGGGTCATAGAATATATTCTATAAGAATTAAATAGCTCAATGTATGCTCGTTTTGTAAATGCATTTTGAATATTTGGGGGAAGCATTCTGTACTGGTTGTGTGCATTGTACTAAATTTTCTAATCACGTTAATCTTCTATATTCTTTTTTTAATTCTTGTTATATTTTTGTATGTTTGAACTATTGGTTATTTTCGATTTTGTCATTTGTATATACTTTGAGGCTACATTAATAAATGCATAAAGCATAGAATTCTTGTATCTTCCTTGTGAATCAAACCTGAATTGAACACTTACGAAGTGTTCATCTTTATCACTAGTATTGCTTTTCATTTTAGACTACATGTGGCCTAACATTAATGTAATATCGGCTTGTTTTGATTTCGTGTGTACAAGAAACATCTTTTTCTAGTAGTTTCCTACTTCTATTATGCTTATGTTTTAATGTCTCTTTTAAACACCTACATTTCATGGGGTGCCTGGGTGGTTCAGTTAAGCATCCAGCTCTTAATTTCAGCTCAGGTCACGATCTCTCAGTTTGTGAGATCCAGCCCTGTGGCAGGCTCCACGGTGAGCCTGCTTGGGATTATCTCTCAAAAATAAACAAACGTTAAAAAAAAAAAATGCGTATATTTGAAATATTTTTAATCCAGTCAAATAACCTCTACAGATTAATAGGAATATTTACCTTATTTACATTTAATATAATTACTGATCTATTTGGATTTAAATCTACCATTTTAATAAGGTCTCCCTTTTTGTTCTGCCTGTTCTTTGTTGTGCATCTTCTTTTGGATTGCTTTATTATATTTACATTAATAAACTAATAGGTTAATGAGTTAATAGATTATATTATTAATATGAATAATAACATTAGTGTTATTATATTCTATTATGCTAGTTTTTTCCCTCTATTTGGAAACTATACCCTTGTTTACTATTCTTTTAGTAACTAACCTTGAAGTTCCAATGCTACTACTTGACTTAATGAATACTGCTATTATTTGGGACTTTTACCTTTTACTTTTCTTGCGGGGGGGGGGGGTTACCTCTACACCCAACATGGGGCTTGAACTCTTGACCCCCTGAGATCAAGAGTTTCATGCTCTACAGACTGAGCCAGCAAGGGGCCCCAGCACTCTTACCTTTTTTCCAAAAAAAATTTTTAAATTCTATTCCTTTATCACTCCGGTTGTGACCCCCTCAACTTATGTGCTTTTTCTTTTTTCAATTCTCTTGGACATATTCCTAACAGTGGAATTGCTAGGTCATATGTTAACTCTAGGTTAAACATTTTGAACTACCAAACTGTTTTTCAAAGCAGCTGTACTTTTTTTACAATCCCAACAGCAGTGTATGGGGGCTCCAATTTCTCCACATCCTTACCAACACTTGCTGTTGTCTCTGTTTTAGTCCATTTGTCCTCGCAGGTGTGAAGTGGTATTTCATTGTGGGCTTGATGAGCATTTTCCTAATGGCCTTGTTGAACATCCTTTCATGTGATTACTGGCCATTTCTATACCATCTCTGGAGAAATGTCCATTCAAATCCTTTGCCCTTTTTGAAATTGGCTTATGTGTCTTTTTATGGTTGCATTATAAGACTTATTTATATATTTTAGATATAAAGAAATTGGATTTGCTAATATTTTCTCCCCTTCTATGGGTTGCCTGTCCCCTTTCCTGTCTCCCTTGAAGCAATTTTATTTTGATGAACTTTTTTTTTGAAGAAATAAACGTTGCAGAGAGTTGAAGCTCCCGTCTATGACCCAATTTCGCTGCCTCCCTCTTCAGAGATTACTATTCTAAATGTGATCTTTTTAATTCCCCAATTTTGTTTTGTTTAATTATGCAAAATACCCATAAATGTTAACATCTTAACCACTGCAAGGTGTACGGATCAGTGGCACTAAGTATATTCACACAATTTGCCACCAACACCACATCCAGCTCTAGAGTTTTTTTTTTCATCTTGCACAGTTGAAACTCTATCCCAATTAAACCCTAATCTTCCATTTTTCGCTCAGGCCCTGTAACCACCATTCTGCTCTCCATGAATGTTGTAAATACCTCCTATGAATAGAATCACAGTATTTGTCTTTGTGTGACTGGCTTATGTCAACTTACCATAAGGTCTTCAAAGTTCATCCATGTTGTAGCAGGTGTCAGGATCTCCTTCCTTTTAAGGGTTGAATAACATTCCATTGTGTGTGTGTACATTACATGTACATCACATTTGCTAATCCATTCATCTATAAATGGACACTTGTTATAAATGTGTCTATTTGTCTATAGCCCAGTGGGCTAGATCTTCTATTGACCTCTACCCTCTGTATCATATTTTTGAATGGATTTCAATTATGTATGTTATTTAGAGGCACTCTGGCTTTGACCAGCACACCAAATTTGTCCCACTGCCTGTTATATATATACAATTCCATTGGAGCACAGCCACATTCATTCATTTATCTATTGTCTATGGCTGCTTTCATGCTACAACAGCAGAGTTGAGGGACTGGGGCAAAAACCATATGGCAAAACCTAAAATATTTACTATCTGGCCCCTTAAGTAAGTCTGCTGTTTCCAAGGCAATAGTAACAAATAGATTCCAAAATGTGTAACAGCTCAAACACCAGCTTCTCTTCCACAGCATAGTCCAAAGCCAGCAGTTTTCTCCATGTTTGATTCACGTACACAGGATGCTTCCACTGCACGGCTCTGCAATCCCCAAGGGCCTCCATGTCTTTGCCTTGAGCTAGTAGAAGGGGATCAAGAACCTGGAGGGGACCCCCGTACTCCTTTAGCCTCGGTCCAGGAACGGAACTCATTTCTCACTCATGATTCATCAGCAAGAACTAGGTGCCTGACAATATCTCAAAGTAAAGAACGGCACATTCATGCCTCCTCCCAGTGACACAAGCTACAAATTTCAGTGGGAGGCCAGCTGTCTCAGCCATGCCAACACCCAGCAAGTGAAGAATCAGAATGAGCAAGAAAGCAGGCCGATATGGCTTGATTTCAGGAGATGGGCTTTTTCTGCCTGGAGAGAGCCAGATGGAATATTATAGAAAGCCAGAATGAAGAGCAGGCCTTTCAAAGATTCAGATAAAACTAGGTATCATCAAGCAGTTGCTAAAAGGAGAGAGAGAGAGAGAGAGCCCTTCCTTGGGATATGGTTAGACCAGCTCATGGACTCTTAACCTGGATCAAGAATTGAGTGTTGGGGGCGCCTGGGTGGCTTAGTCAGTTGAGCGCCCGACTTTTGCTCAGATCATGATCTTGTGGTTTTTTAGTTCGAGACCCGCATCAGGCTCTCTGCTGACAGTGCAAAGCCCACTTTGCATCCTCTGTCTCCCTCTCTCTCTGCCCCTCATTCGCTCACACACACTCTCTCTCTCCCACTCTCTCAAAAATAAATATTAAAAAAAAAAAAGAATTGAGTGTTGGTGGTCTAATGACACCCCAATACAGTCTGAAAGTTTACACAGGTAAATAGGTTTCTTCTTGAGCTTTCTGAAGGCTCCAAGAATTCTCTGACCCCCCTCCAAAAAGTTACAAACAAAACTAAGTGTGGTCTAAAATTCCTTCCACATCCTGGAAGCTGCTGAGTGGGGGCATAAGCAATCCATCACCATAAGTTTGTTATTTGGAAAAACTGACCACATCTTAGGCCATTTTGGTTTTTGCTTTTCTATTTTGTTAGTTATAAAGTCAGGTTTCCCCACCCAAACCCAGAAATCAGTGGTAGAAAAATAACAAAGGAAAAACCCCTAAGCCATCTCATAAAAACCTGAGAGCACAGGCTGAGCGTGTGCCAGGGGTGGGGGGAATGGACAGATGACGGTCCATCGAGGGTTAAGGTGGAGGTATCCAGGGCATGGAAGTGGTCATCTGCTCTACCTGCTGACCTTCCCTGGGTCTTCGCCAGCAGGATCACAGCATGCCAACCTTCAATACAAGAGCTGGTAAACGGTGGCACTGTTCTTGGAGCCTGTGACCAGATACTGGTTGTCAGAGGACACATCACAACACAGGATATCTGTAGACTCCTCTGCCTACAAGGAAAGAGAAGCCAAGAGTAACTACAGGCAGGGGCCACGCTCGGGCCAGAGATGAAGCCCTCACTTAGGGCTGTGTCAAGGCTAAGGACAGACCTGAGCCTCAGTCTGGAGACAACAGGGCAGGTCTCGTGGTTCAAGGTGAAGCCCATGAGTTCACTGGACCTTGGGTCCTCATTCCCCTTGATGTATTAAACGGCCCAGATACCACCCCGGAGGTACTTTCCAGCACTGTCCTTGGGACCTGACATAATGGATCTGAGGCTATGAGCTCTGAGTGCCTGGGTATGCCCATCCCTCCTCCCAATACCTGAAACAACCTTTGTAGAGAAGGTACGGCTAAGCAATGGATCGATTCATCCAGCGTGGTCACAAAATAGCTCCCTGGCAAAGGAAAGGCAGATGGAGAGGCCAGACACCAAGCTTGCATTCCAATCCCAGCCTCATTCCCAAGGGGACTAGGGAAAGGGCAACTCCTTCTCTGCCTCAGTTTCCCCATCTATAAAAATCAGAGATAAGACCCAAGCCATTCCTTCATCTGGTCCTACCCTCCTGCTACACGTGGGATCATGGTCAGTATCACTGAACAAAAAAAAGGACAATCAGATGGGATTTCATGTCTCTTCTGCCTGCCTGTGTCTTCAGGCTGCTGTTCTGTGTAGGAAGGCACCATTACAGAGAGAGCCAGAAAGGAGAGGGAGGGGGACAGAAGACAAACAGGGTGCCAGACCACAGCAGGAGAGGAAGCAGTGGGGAAGGGTAGGTGGGTGCAGAGGCAAGAGCAGCAGGCAGGAGAGTCGACACCTGGGTCTTGGCTTGGCTGCGCTTGGGGCTGGAGGGTGAGGAACAGACCCTGCAACAAGGCTGGGCCCAGATTCTGCAGATAGGTAGACACCCCATGGACAGGGCCCCTAGAGGTATCACCTGGCTTCAACTCACCACAGGAGGAAAACTTGAGGTTGTGGCGGTGGATGTATTTGTTAAAGAAAATCTTCAACTTCTCCCTCCGGTGCGTGTGTAGGATTATGATGTCACTGTTTCTCAAGCCTACTAGCACCCACTCTTCACTGGGGTCATGGGTAATGCTGAGGATCTATTTGGGAAAAAAATTGGAGTCAGGGGTGCCTGGGTAGCTCAGTTGGTTAAGCATCAGACTTCGGCTCAGGTCATGATCTCCCAGTTCATGGATTCAGGCCCCGTGTTGGGCTCTGTGCTGACAGCTCAGAGCCTGGAGCCTGCTTCAGATTCTGTGTCTCCCTCTCTCTCTGTGTGCCTCCCATGCTTCTGCTAGCGCTCACTCTCTCTCTCTCAAAAATAAACGTTAAGAAAAAATTTTTTAATTAAAAAAAAAAAAAGAAAAGAAAAGAAAAAGGACTAGAGTCAGTGCTCCAAGCTGCCAACACCATCATTTGTGTCTCCTCTTGAAACCCGGCTCTTCCTCCTGCAGGACCCCCAGCTCCCAGCCACCATGACTGCCCTCAGCCCTGGCACCTCATGCCGGAAATGGTGCTCCTGCACCCTCTGGTAGTTCCTCAGATCCCAGGAATACAGGCTGGCGTCTTCACCTCCTGTCCAGAACTTATTGCCTGCGATGTCCACGCATCGGGATCCGTATTCAGGGACTTCGTGCTTCCTGGAGGGAAAACAACTCATAGAGATTCACGCACTGGTTAAACACTGGGAAGTTCTGGGCCCAGGAAGCCCCCAGGAGTGCCCCCCCCACCATATCTTCTCCTCACAGACTCCCCTGATCCTACCGCACAGAGCGGGGAAGCGCTGTCCAGAAAGGGACACAGGCTTTCCCAAACACCTTACTGTCAAGCCCTCCCCTAGGTCATACCTGATCAAGATTTGGTTCTGCAAGTCCCAAATCTCAACAAATCCTTTGAAACAAGCCAAGCAGATCTGGGCATTGGAGGAGAGAGCCAGGGAATAGCACATGGGGCCTGTGGAGGCCAGCTGTGCCCTGACTCGAGGCGTGGGTGCCAGATCCCAAAGAGTCAGGTTCCGGGACAGACCCCCAGTGATCAGGCTCTGCTCATCAGGCAGCAGCTTGCAGGCGAGGACACGGCTCTGATGGTCCTGCAGGGACAGTTCCCACCCTCACATCACCACCTTAAGGCATGGGGTCAGAGTCTCACACCAGAGATCATACCCGGGCTCCCCAAGCCTATCCCAAACATCCCTCACCTGGAAGTCCAGCTGGGCCTGTGGGGCTTTGTTGCAGGCATGCAGAGCGCTCTCGTCCCACACCTTAATGTAGCCATGCCCACACGTGTACACGTGGTGAGTCGAGCCGCTGATGGCAATGGCGTAGACCTTCTTTCCATGGCGGACATTGCCAACCTTCCAGGACTCCCGTGGGGCTCTCTGCCTGACCACCACTTCATCAGGAACGGGAGGCTAGGGACAGGAGAAGGTAGGCGGCCATCAAAGGGCATAGCCCCAGCCTACTGTCATCCACAGCCTGCCGGTCCGCTGACTGAATTCCTAACTGTTCACCCAACAGCCCTCTCTGACCCGGGGCGAAACCACGTTCTTATCTGGGGACCCCAGACCATAGACATCCTCCTGCACTAGCCACATGGTGCCCAGGCTTCCCTCCTTGACACACAGAGCCACATTTTGAGACAATTCTGTGCACCAGCAGGAAGAGCAGGACCCGGCACAGCCCCCTGAGGACACAGCTTTCGAAGAGGTGACACTGTGAGCTGAGGGCCCTACATCTTGGTGACGAGGGCAGGGTAGCCTAGCTCAGAAGAAGTAGGGAGCTGCAGGACCACCCCACCACCACCACCACCACCACCACCACCACCACCACCACCGCCTAAGGGAGAGAGAATGAGGACACACTGCGTGCCCTCACCTTCTTCTTACTAGCTTCTTATTTGGGGCAGAGCAGGGGAAGGCAAAGATCCCAAGTTTGGAAAAATAACACACTTACAATTGCCCTGAGGAATGACCAGACTTCTTCACTGGGAGGTGGCGAGGGGCAAGGCTGGCCTGCAGGGAAATATCAACACCCACCCGCTCACAGAGAGGGGCAACGGATAGCAACAGAACCGCAGGATTCAAGGAGAGGGCCGCTGTCCTGACACCAGGCCTGAGTCTTGTCCCCCACCTTCCCTGCCCACGCATCCCACCTGGGACTTACCACACTCGGGTCCTGGCAGGAAGCTATGACACATAGAGAGCAGAGAGGGGACAGCGCGTGAAATGCAGGGCTCTGTGCTGGGATCCCCTCTCCCACCACCAGTCTTGTTCAAGGGGAGACCTACCTGCGATCCAGTTCTGCTGCTACTTCTGGCTCCGCCTCAGAAAGCCAGCTGGCCTGGAGCTCAGATCTGTCCAGAGGCTGGAGGACCCACTGTTGTGGGGCCCCAGAGCTCGTCTCCTGATAAAGCGGGCCATGCGACGTCTGGGGAGCCGGGGGCTGCTGAGGCATCCCATACTCCCCCTCTGCTTGGGACTGTGCTTGGTGCTCATGCTGGGAGGAAATGCCAGAGCTTTCTAGCACGTTCCTCCACTCCTCTGGTTCATCATAAATTCTGAGTGTACTAAACGAGGCCCCCTCCTTCTCTCTATTCATGTTCTTAGATCAATCAAGTGTCTGAGCCACCCGGTTTTGGGCTTGAGAAATGAGTCCATCAAACAGCTCCCGGGGTTACCAGTTCGTCCTGATCCCCTGTAGCAAGAGAGAACAGATGCAGAGACACAGATGTGCAGCATTCAGGGCCTGTTTAGGAGGCTCTGAGAACACCTCTCATGGTGAGAGGATTCAAAAGACGGGTGGCCGACTAATGTTTTACCCTAAATGCTGGCAGTGATGGTGTCAAAGGTGAACGTTTCTCACAGACACTTTGAGATGTTAGTAGCAGGTGTTGGGTTTTTCCTAGACCCATCTAGAAAGATGGCATTTCCAGTCCTTTTAAATCCGAGTCACCCTTTAATCTGGCAATATACCTTTCAGATGAGGACTCACCCCCAATGTAAACATGGGGTAAGGGGAAACTCCACTCATGCCACAGGCGCTTTCCCTGCCTTCAGGGGATCCCCGAAGGCAGTATGCAGACATGATGTTCCATTTGGATGGAGCAAGGTCACACAACCACAGAGTTTGCTGGTGGGGACATTCATCTATCCCACCCTATATGGTCATTCTGAGAACTAAATGGAATCCCGTGTAGAATACTCAGAATTGTGCAAGGCTACTGGCAGACCTTCCTTAAATGGCAGTGAGTGCATTTATCTGCGGACTGTGCCAGGGACCAGACCTTTGAGGATTTAAAACAGACCATCTGCCTTCCCCCAGGCCACCCAACAGCAAGCCCTTGGACGGGCCTGGGGAGACCCAGCGTTCCAGAACACAGCAGAGCAAAAGCTCAGCCAAAAAATGAGAGGTGGTCTGGGGAAGGGGTCTTCCCCTGTCTATGGAGACCATGCCTGGACGACCAAACTCAGTCCTTGGTTCTCAGAACCCACCCTCTGCAAATGCCCCATGGTCACCCCAGAGAGGCCGGGTTGCCTGCCTTTGGGAAGATGTAGTTGTATCACCAGACTCCACTCCTCTGAACACTTTGAGCTCTTACTATGTGTTTAGCCTTGAACCAAACACACTCCTCACAACCGTGTGAGCCACATTTCACAGATTTTAAAAACCGAAGCTCAACTTTGGTTATTTAACCAGAAAGCACAGGGAAAAGGATCAAATCCCGCCCTGTCTGGTTCTAAACAGTCTCCTTTCCTGACTCTCCACGAGGAGAAGGAAGACAAATATCCACTGTCTTTACAAAAGTGGTTACCTGGGGAACCTGAGTGGCTCAGTGGATTAAGGGTCCGACTTAGGCTCAGGTCATGATCTCGTGGTTCACGGGGTTAAGGCCCGCATCACTCTCTGTGCTAACAGCATGGAGCCTGCTTCAGATTCTGTGTCTCCCTCTCTCTCTGCCCCACCCCCATTCCCGCGCGCGGGTGCGCTCTCTCTCTCTCTCTCTCTCTAAAATAAATTTTAAAAAATTAAAAAAACAAATGTGGTTACTCTCCTACCTAACACTGCCACTTTTAGGGATTTAGCCTGAAGGTGCACTTAAATATACACAAAAAGGACACCTGTACAAGCAGAAGCACCACAGCACTGTTTGTGACAGCAGATGACTGGAAAAATCCAATGGCCACAGGAAGGGACTGGTGAAATGTCACAGTGTATGCATTCTGCAGAATACTACACAACTGTTAAATGTAATAAGGACACATCTTTAAAGACTGGAGAAAAATCCAAGGTGTGTTAAGGAGGGGAGGGGTGGATCTAAGGTTCAGACAAATGTGCATAATAGCAGCTTTGGTGGAAAAGAAGGATGGAAATTAGAACCTATCTTTGCATATGTTTGTATGCACAGAAGAAATCAGGAAAAGCAGTCGTCTTTGGGAATGCAAATTGACCCAAAGGAAAGAAGAATGGAAGATTTGGCCACCGTAGAACCTGGGATAGTTTTTGCATCTGTGTGGCTCCTGGAATCTAAATGTAAAATAGTTAGACCTTGAATCTTTTCCTTGACCAAATCCATCTTTCTCACCTTCCCCCAAATGATAATTTGGGGTCCTTGTGATGCTCAGTTACTTGTTTAAATAATTTAACCAATTCATCCTGACGCCTTCAGCCTGCATTAAATGGGCCACGAGGGCTGGCTCACCCTGCTGAGGGTGGAGGCCCAGAGTACCCACATTCCCAGCCAGCGTGACGAGGATGAGCAAGCGGGGACTGGAAGCGAGCTGCCCTTGGGTAAAGCTTAAAGGCAGTGAGGCCACTTAGCCAGTATTTCACAGATGAAGAAGATTTCACCCTAAGAGTAAGACAAGGCTTTCTAGAAAGAGCAGAAGGAAGAGTCACTATCACTGAACCCCGCTCTGCTCTATCCCCAGAGCTGCAAATGTAGAGACCCCACCCCTTACCAAGCAACTCCTACCCCAGGTTCCACACAAAACGCTAGTGCTGGGGCTCCATCCTGCCCACAAGGCAAGCACTCACCAATCCCCATGGCTGGAAACTCACCCTGGAAGGCAGAAAGCCAAACCCCAGAGAAGGGAAGGCAGCAGCAGAACGGAGACCTCACTGGGGCTGAAACCCTTCCTCTCACACCCAGGCACAGCCCCCTCCTGAACTGCTGCTATTTTTAAACCTTAGCTTAATTGATAATCAAGCCCTGGGTCAGAACCTGGGTCAGGTGTCCTGGCCCTGAATGGTACCTGAATGGTTCCTCAATTCCTGGGTGGGCGTGGCCACAACCTGCCATTTCCAATTAGACCCTGTGTCCTTGGAAGAGAGATAAGATGGAGGTCTGCCAAGTAAGGTCAAGGCAGGAGGCAAGATGGAGCCAGAAACTTTTGTGGGGGAAGTCTCTGGATCGGGTTCGGGCCGCCCACTAGAGCCAGCATTTGCACAGAGGCCGAGAACTGGGTAGAGCTGTCCCCAAGAGCTGGTTTAGATTCATGTCTTCTGGTGAATCTCTTTGGGATTGAAGGCTGGTTTGGGGCTGAGGCCAATATGGGCTTTGATGGGAGGAGAAGGGGGCCACTAGAAGGGAAGACCAGGGAAGCCTTTCTTTTCAGGCACCCCTCATCCAGTGGTTCTTAAATATGACACCTGGAGTGCAGCCCCCACCCCCACCCCCCCTTGCCACAGAGACTCAGATTCTGTAGGTGTGGGGTGGGGACTGAGACTGCCTTTCTAACAGGTTCCTGGGTGCCACATTTGAGAACCACTGCCAGCCCCTCAGTCTGGTGGTCCCCTCCTGCAGGAGAGAATGGCGGTGAAGCTGGATCCCCTCCTGCTCTCCCCGCCCCCCCAACCTCTTGCTCACCCTTCCAATTGAACACACTCTCTTCCACTCTGGTTCCTTTCTCATTTGCTGGCTTCCTTCTTTTGAAGCAGCAGTCCTGAAATGGCTGCTGTCCACAAAGAAATCTTTTGACCCCCTAATCTCCAAAACCCACTGTCTCTCCCTTTCTCTTTCCCCCTAACACACCCCTCATCCCCAAAAATTTTATTACTGCCTGTGGTCTCCCAGATAATGCCTGGCATTATCCTTGGCCCAGTATTTGAGATCTGTCCCCATCCAGGCTCAGCCTGTTCTCGCTTTTTCCCTGACTGCACCCTAACCTGACCCCAAAAGAACTTGACTGCACCTTTCCATCCTCATACTTCCCTATGCTGTTCCTTCATCCAAGAATGTTGTTCCTTGTCCACTCATGCGTCAAATTTACACTCCCATGTACTCTGAGCATGGTGCCAAGGACCAGTGATCAAACTAAGACATGGCCCAAGTCCTTAGGGAGCTCTGATTTTAGAGGACAGGACAGAGGGTGGTTGATGTAATTCCTGAACTGACGCATGACCATTTGGGGGGAGTTATCCCTTTTTTGACGAGTTATCCCTTTTTTGATTCTCACAGGAAACACACAGCAGTGAGGCATGGATTTTATTGCTAGTTTGGAAATATGAGAATTAATTCGGGGGGTCAGAACATCACAGAGACTTATCCAGGGTCTCACTGAACAGGTAGGAGAGCAAGGGTCCAAAGCCAGGCCGATCTGATTTTTAAAAATATGCTTGAGAGAGAGCTGTACTGAATCATAGGAGCTCTTTCTATACTCTGCGTATGAATCCTTTGGCAGAACATGTGCCCTGCCTGTGTCTCTTGCCAACCTGTGGCTGGCCTTTTAGCTCTTAATGGTGTCTGTAGATGAATGGAAGTTCTTAATTTTAATTCAGTCCAGTTTATCTATTCTTTTAAGGTTAGTCTTTTTTTTTTTTTTTTGTCTTATTTAGGAAATATTTTCTGCCTTCAATACCATGATAATACTCTCCATTGTTTTATTCTAGAAGCTTCTCTATTTTACCCTCTACATGTAAATCTACAAAACTTGGCAATATCTAGAAAGGGAACACAGAGGGTCCAGAGAAGCCTGGGCCTCTCTTGAAGGGGGAAGCAGCAAGCAAAATGGTGAGGAGCCCAACCCTTCCATCAAACTCCTGATTTGAAGCCCAGGCCTGCCACTTCTCGGTTGCCAGCCTGTGCCTCAGCTTTCACATCTGTAAAATGGAGATGACAAGATTACATCCTTCTTAAAGCTGAGATCAGACCTGGAGGTTTAAGAGGGCTTTGAAGAGGCCAGGTTTCATGTAAATGCTCACTGAGGGTGAGCAATTCTTAGGGCCTACCAAAGAGGAAAGAAAAAGAGAGGCGAGAGAGGCCAGTGGGAAGTCCCCTGTGCAGTGAGGCAGCCCACAGAGGAGAGAGTTGCCAGCAGAGGCATAGGGTCTGGATCCTAATAGGCTGCATTGCTGGGCACTGGGCATGCTTCTCTGTGTCATCACTGCCCCCTCTCGGCTGCCCCAGGAGGGAAGTCACATCTAAGGAAAATGAGGTTCAAAGAGTTTAAGTACCTTGCTCAAGATCACACAGCAAGGAAGGGCTGGAGTGAGGGTTTGAGGCCAGGTTCACACAACCCCACACGGCCCTCTTTCAGGCTGCAGGGAGATGGAAAATGCCGGGAACAGGGGGCCATTTGGCTTTAGCAGCCTGGAAGTGGTGGTTTCTGTGCATTCTTGGGCCAGACACTAGAATGCTAATATGTGAATTGTCAGACGTTGAGAACAGAAGTGAGGGTACAGAGTACTTAACTGAGACATTTGAACAAAAGAAGAAGTGGGGCAGCCTCTGTGGGGTACAGTGTCAAGAACAGTGGTTCCCAAGCTCAGAGGCAAGTTAAGGTAACCCAGGTACTTACCAATGCTCAGGTATCTGTGCCCTCCCCATTCCCATTAGTAGGGAAGCAGCCTGGGCAACAGCATTTTTCAGACCTCCCACTGTGATTCCAATGCAAGCTAAGGTTGAAAACCACTCAAGTAGAGGGTTTTGCAGAGAAGGGTAACAGGACCACAGAGATTGTGAGAGAGGGTAGAGGGAAGAGGTTGGGAGATATTCCAGAGGCTGGGGAAGGAGGGACAAAAATGATAAAGGAAGACCCCTGTGGTCTTGGGAATGGTTGAGGTCATGGGCACAGGAGGAATTTAGTTTGAGATGGAAAGGGAAAATGACCACAAAAAGATGGGCAAGGACAGTTTCACCCTATTGTCCCTCTGCCGAGCCCATGGATGGAGGTGCCCATCCTGAGCCCAGGCTATACTAGGGTTGGTGGCCAACAGGTAGGACCAAAATTGTGTGAACCAGAGTGTTGGAGCTTCCAGGAAAGGAAACAAAATGGGTCCAGGACTGCAATCAAATGCATCTGTGCACCCACCCACTCACTCACCACCCTTCCCTCCAAGTGGCCAGTGAGCACAGTTTTACTGCTCCCTGGTTGCACTGGTCTGGGAGGACACAGGGCTGAGCCTACAAACCTGGCCTTGACCCTTGTGAATTTAGGTCTTTGGAGTGAAACTAACAGTTGAACTGTCAATTATAAATCAGAGTGGAGAGTGTGACCTGATGAACTTAGGGAGGGTGTGACAGGGGAATACAGATAAGGGGGACACACCAGATGTGAAAGATCATGAGTGATCCGTGAGGTGTGCGACATGAAGGATGGGAGGCATCAGTGGGGAAAGCGGTGGGAGGATGGGGAGGAGAGCATGGGAGAATGTTCTAGGCAGAGAGCATAGCAGGTACAAAGGTTTGGAGAAGTGTATTTTATTTTTTTAAATGTTTATTCATTTTTGAGAAACAGAGAGAGAGTGCGAATAGGGGAGGGGTAGAGAGGTAGACACAGAATCCAAAGCAGGCTCCAGGCTGTCAGCACAGAGCCCAATGTGGGGCTTGAACCCATGAACCATGAGATCATGACCTGAGCTGAAGTCGGATCCTCAACTGACTGAGCCATCCAGGCGCCTCTGGAGAAGTACATTTTAACAAATGGGAGAATTTTCTAGGAGCTGGAGCACAGGGAGTATGTTGTGAGGGCAGGGAGGGCAGGGATGTGTGTTCTAATCTAGGGAGACTAGGTGGGGAGCAGCAAAGGATTCTGAGCTGGGGGAGACAGGAACGGACTTGTGTTTTGAAAGGACCAGGCCTTCAGTGGATAGTTTAGGGGAAGGCGGCAAGATTGGAGTCTGGAGACCAGTTAAAAATGCTCAACATTAGCAGTCGTTAGGGAAATATAAACCAAAAGCACAATGAGATACCACTTCCCATCCACTAGGATGGCTAACACAACAACAACAACAACAACAACTAAGAAAATGATAAATATTGGTGAGGATATGGAGAGACTGGAATGCCAGGGCATTGTTGGTGGGAATGTAAAATGATGCTGCTGCCGCGGAAAGCAGTTTGGCAGTTCCTCAAGAAAGTTAAACACAGAATGACCATATAACCTAGCAATTCCACTCCTAGGTACATACCTGAGAGAACTGAAAACAGAGGCTCAAACAGATTTTTGTACACCAACATTCACAGCAGCATTATTCACAATAGCCAAAAGGTACAAATAACCCAAGCATCCATCAACGGACGGCTGGATAAACGAAATGTGGTCCATCCATACAAGGACTGTTAGTCACCAACAAAAAGAAATGAAGTGCTGACCATAGTACAACACGGATGAACCTTAAAAACCTTACACTAAATGAAAGAAGCCAGACACAAAGCCTGCATATCGTATGATCCCATTTACATGAAATGTCCAGAATTGGCAAATCCAGAGAGACAGAGAGCAGATTAGTGGCTGCCAGGGCCTGGGGAGCCGGGAGCGATTTCTTAATATGGGGTTCCTTTTGGAGTGATGAAAAAGATCTGAGATTTTGACAGTGGTGATGGGTACACAACACTGTGAATGTACCTAATGCTACTGAAGTACACACTTTGAAACAGTTAAAACGGTAAATTTTATATTATGTGTATTTTACAACAATAAAATAAAATCAGACATTGTGTCATGAGCTACAGGCCTCGCAAGTTACCATAGCATTTTTCCTCTTCCTTCATCCAGCAGATACCAGGCAGTTTAGCTGGTGGTTTTCTTAACTTTTGCTCCCCTAGTAGAAGAGCCAGCCAGCTGCAGGTGCCCCCGCCCCCAGACACCCTTGCCAGCTATAGTCAAATGGCAGCATGGGGCGGGGTGGGGGGTGGGGAACGTTAACAGGGTGGGGAAGTTTGGGGGGGTGGGTTACAGTGAGGAGCAGCACTCAGTGGGCAAACACTGAGGTCACTGTTTGGATCCTCAAAGCCTGGGCTCAAATATCGACCTTCAGATCTCTATTTGGGGGGTGCAGAGCCCTTTGGCGGGCAACTGGAAAGCAAGCAAATTCTAAGATTGCGCTCACAGGCCAGTGTGCGCACTTGATGGTTGCTCTCATCGGAGGCTCCCTGACCCCAGGAGTTTCTCTTTCAGCACTAGACCCTCCTCGGGAATCCACCTGGACACCCGTTGCTGATGAAAACGTATATAAAGCATATAAACATAGACACAAAACATTTCTTCCCTTACTGATTTACTAACATCATCCACTCAACTGAAATTATTCAACTAGCAAGGTCCTGCCCAGCCCAATAAGCTGTCCCCACTCCCACCCCCAGTGACTTTGTGGTCCACAGGGTAAGGCTGGAAAACACAAGCTCCAGGTAGAGGGCTCAGAGAGCTGGTGGAGGACACAGCACAGGGGACCCGAAGGAGAGGGGGGAGAGCCAGCAAGGGGGCAGTGGTGTTGGGCTGAGCTCAGTGTGAAGGCAGGGAAAGCCCTCTGGGTATTAACACCGCAGGGCTGGGCCCCTGCCCACTGTGTACCTGGTCCCTGCACTTCCTCTAACTCCACTGTCATGGGGAGGCCCCAACCCACTGTTCTTTACTATGTGCCCTTCCCAGGGCTGTGGATCCCACCTCCCTTATCTATTGTTCTTCCTACCCAACTCACACTCGCGGCCCTGCTGTGGAACGCTTGGATTCTGTGGAACGCATTCCGATTTCTGTCTTGGATACCCCTGTTTCCAAGACATCTTTAGGCACAAACCCCCTGACCTTTACTCTCGGGCCCACTGGCAACTGGCTCCTTCACAGTCTCCCACAGGGGCTCAACTGAGGTGAGTTTGCAGTATGCGCCTCTGAATAAGATTTCTCCGGGCGGGGGAGGGCGGGGCGGTGGAGGAGTATGCTTCTTTAAGAGTTTGCAGTGCCCTGGCCTAAGCCTTCTGTGCGTTCCAACGGTTGTCTAAGGTAGTGTCCACCCCACCCCCACCACCGGTGGATCCCCAGTTGAGCTTTCCACCAAAAGCTCGGACCGGGCTGCCCCAGGAACACCCCTGGGATCTGGGTAGGGAGGAAAGGTCCTGCATCCGGGCAGCCTCACAGTGGGAGGTTCTGTGCTTCCAGTCCCTCCTGGAGAGCGGCCCGGGCTTCTTGCGCCCTGCAGTGAGCGAAATGGCCACAGGGGGCAGCAGGGGGGCCGAGACTGGTGGCCAGTGGCTGCTAATGGCTTCTCAACTGCGAGCCCCAGAGCCCTGGACACGCAGGCCCGACGCCCCTGCCCTTTCTTGTTCAGGGGCCAAAACAGTGCCCTGGTGGGAAGGCTGCCACCTGGCTACCCACGCCGCGCGCTGTGGCCCAGGACGGATGGGACTCAGAGCCTCAGGTCCCCACCCTGGGAGCGCGTGGGACCGGGGCTCGCCGGCCAAGGACGGGTGGCAGACACGAGGTACAGGTAGCCGAACTGCCCCTTACCGTGGCGGGCTGGAGAAAATCGGCCGCGCAGCGCGAGGTCTTCCTGGAGGCTGGGCCTGTGCTGAGTGCCTGTGCGATTTCAGCGGCTGGCAGGGGCTGGAGGCACAATGCAGGATCACCGGAGCCACCCGGGGACTGGCAAGCTGTTGCAGGCAGAGCTGGACCAAGAGGGAGGCTCTGGCCGCTGGCTGCCCGAGGCCAGTTGGAGCCAGGGCCCAGCAGAGCAGGTTCAGACGGGGAGCTAGAGTCTCGGGAGCCTTGAGACCAGTTGGATTTGCTGGGGACCACGTGGTCTGTGCTGCATTCTGGCCTCAGAGCTGGGGGAAGGGACTTGCAGGGAGCTCTCCCAACCGGTAGACTGGGGACTTGCGGAGAAGGCCAAGATTCGCTCATCTCCTGGTCCCCAGCACTTGGTCGACCCTGGCCTGTGGCAAGGGGAAGGGTGTCCTCAGTTCCCTATCAAGAGACAGGATAGCACATAGAGTGGGGTTGTACTCTGGGGAGAATGCAGACGTCAGAGGCAGAGAGGACAGAAGAGTCCAGAGGCATCTTCTCAGAATTCTCTGCCAGGAGGAGAGGGATGATAGCCCAGGGGTAGCTGTGCTGGGCCTCTTGTTCCCAAGATGACATTGGAGGCCTGTCCTGCCTTGGCCTCTCTCCCCAGGCCATCCCCTCACCTGCTGGGTGCTGGGCAGCCATATTTCCCTCTAAGCCTCAATTTACCATCCTGACCTGGACAGGGCAGGAGCAGATGTTCTCTGAGGACCCTTCCAATGTGACAGGCCAGGGTAGAAGGGTGTGCTGCAGGGACAGAACATGCTGATGGGGACTGAGGGACAAAGGCTTTATTTAATCCTGGCCCTTCCAGGCTCACAGCTCCAGTTCAGAAAAAGAGAAGAGCTTTTGTGAGGGGACAGAGGTCTCCAGTGCCATGGCTCCTCTTTGTCCTGATGAGGCTTCCACTGGGCCCAGGCAGCTCTGGGCTGGAGTCACCTATGAGCACTGAGGCTACAGGATATCAGGACCACTGGTTGATGGAGCCATTCGACTTCATGAGGCTTTGCAGGTATCTATTTTCTGTTTCCTCTTGTCCTTAGTATCAGAATAGAGCATCTGCCCTGGATAGTAACAGACCTACAGACAAAGAGAAAACCCTCAGGGACCATCTGGGTGGGAACAGCCTTGAGTTCTGTTGCCAGCCCTCACCCTGCACTGACAAGGGCCTGAGACCCAGAAACCATGGTCACATAGAACATTGGTATCAGATCCCGGACAGATTGTCCTCAGCGGCTGATTCTCCTAGAATCCCTGCCTCAGTCTTGCCTCAGCAGAGAAACTGCCAGATGCTAGTGACTGCTCATGAACCAGGATGGTTGGCGAGTGCTGTGGCTTTCTGGCCTGTGTAAGAGACATTAGCAGCTGATTTGCTGGGTGACCAGGCCATCCACCTTTGGGCCTGTTTCTAAATAAATGGCCTGGGGCACTTTGAAGTCTGGAACTACCCAGAAGTTCAGGTTCAGATAGTCAGGGGGAAGGCCTTGTTCCCTCCTATGTTCTGAGGGGTTCCAGGCTCTGCCTCCACGCCCACTTAGTTCCCAGGAGCCTGGGGGCAGAGCAGTGGATAGGGATTTCTACAACAATGGCATCCCCAGGACACTCTGCTGAGGTCCTACACCACATCATTAGCTTTCTAACAGGAATGGTGCCTTTGAAATACTCCAGATAGTACCCCTGGCCAACACCGGTAGCTCGAGCTACACAGCATGCAGCAGCGGGTGTCAGTGCCTCAGGGAGTGTACGGTCTCTGTATACGTAGGGTACACTGTGTCTGTGACCAGAAGTGTATCTATGGGAGGGTCTGTGGAAGAGAGGTTTGGGGGCTCCCTGTGTATGACTGTGTGCGTGGTTTTTCACGCCTTAGAGGACTGAGCCTGAGCATCTCTTCATTAGTCATTTTTACATCTTTTTAAAAACTGCCTGCTAGTATCATTTTCTGGGCTTTATTATATTACTTATCTCTTAATTGTAAGACCTTTTTATATATTAAGCTTTTATATCACAAAACTTACAAGGGTATTTCCACTTTTTGTGCTTTATCTTTTAACTGTATTTGGAATTATTGAGAACATATGTATTTAATTTTGAAAACTCAGTGTTTTGGTATGTTTGCTTATGGTTGGTTTCTAGCTTTCATATGGTGCTCAGGAAAGGTTTTCTCCATTCCATGAAAATACAAAATGTACTCATCTTTTCTAAGGAAATTTTTATTGTTCATCCTCTTTACAAAAGTGATACATGCTTGTTGTCAAAGGGAAGTAAATTTAGGTAGAGTGAATATCTTGAGTTTTCCTGGCTAAGAACAAGGTTTCTCTCTCTCCCCATTAATTTTTCCTTTTGTGGCCCTTACTGGAGATTTACTTCTCCATAGACCTGTGTATAATAATTAAGTTTATCCCAAGAAAATCCACTTTTCTTGATGCTGTTGGGAATGGGATCCGTTCTTTCATTATACTTTCTAATTGGTTGTTGGTATAGAACAAGCTATTCACTTTTGGATGTTACTTTTTAACCAGTCCTCATTCTTGATTTTAAAAGATGGAAAAGATTTGTTTCCATGTGAAGATGCCCCATTCATTTCCCTCTCAGGGTTTTCTACCAGGGGGAATCTGATGATACTTGATCCATTTCATTAACCTTGAGAGTTTTCTGCCACCTCCTCCTCATTAAGATTTGCCTTCACCATGGACACTTTGATGCTGACTAAGTTGGAAGCTAAACCTGAAGGCTTTCCCACACACATTACACACAAAGGGTTTCTTCCAAGTATGGACAGTCTGATGTATTATACAATCAGAACTATAGCTGAACCCTTTTCCACACTCCACACATCTAAAGGGTTTCTCCCCAGTGTGGCTTCTCTGATGCCGAATTAAATGGGCATTAACATGGAAGGCTTTTCCACACTCCTTACATTGAAAGGGTTTCTCTCCAGTATGGATCCTCTGATGTACAATATAGTCAGAACTACAGCTAAATGCTTTTTCACATTCCATACATTTGAAAGGTTTCTCCCCAGTGTGTATTCTCTGATGCCTAGTTAGTTTGGCATTGATAGTGAAGGCTTTCCCACATTCCTTACATTGGTAAGGTTTTTCTCCAGTATGGATTCGATGATGATCAAGTAGGTTTCTTTTAGAAGTAAAGCATTTCCCACACTCATTACATTCAAAGGGTTTCTCCCCAGTGTGAATCCTCTGATGTTGCATTAGTTTTGCATTAACGTTGAAGGCCTTTCCACACTCATTACACTCATAAGGCTTCTCCCCGGTGTGGATTCTCAGATGCTGCCGCAGCTGAGAGTTACACCTGAAGGCTTTCCCACACTCATTACAACCATAGGGTTTCTCACCCGTGTGGATTCTCTGGTGCTGGATTAACTTCCCTTTGACACTAAAGGCTTTTCCACATTCAGTACACTCATAGGGTTTCTCACCTGTGTGGATTCTTTGATGCTGAATGAGTTTTGCATTATTACTGAAGGCTTTTCCACACTCTTTACACTGATAAGGCTTCTCCCCAGTGTGGATGCTCTGATGCTGCCTAAGCTGGGAACTGCACCTGAAGCCTTTCCCACACTCATTACATTCATAAGGTTTCTCTCCAGTGTGGATTCTCTGATGTTGAATTAATTTGGCATTAACATTGAAAGCTTTCCCACAGTCCGTGCACTCGTAAGGCTTCTCCCCAGTGTGGACTCTCTGATGTGTGATATATGCGGAACTGCAGCTGAAGCCGTTTCCACACTCCTTGCACTGATAGGGCTTCTCCCCTGTATGGATTCTCTGATGCCTGTTCAGACTCCCATTAACGCTGAAGGCTTTCCCACACACCTTACACTGATAGGGCTTCTCCCCGCTGTGGGTGGTCTGATGTGTGATATAATGGGAACTGTAACTGAAGCTTTTCCCACACTCCACACATTTGAAGGGCTTCTCCCCGCTATGAAGTCTTTGATGCCAAATTAATTTTGCATTAACGCTAAAGGCTTTGCCACACTCCTTACACTGATAGGGCTTTCCCCCAGTGTAGCTGTTTTGATGCTGAGAGTTACACCTGAAGGTTTCCACTAATTCTTCACATTTAAAAGTTCTTTCCCCAGAATTAATTAGTTCATGCTGAATAAGTTTTGTATCAAAGCTGAAGCCTTTCTCCAATCCCATATGTTCAAGGGGCTGCTGTCCAGTGGTGACGGTGTGACAATGAAAGAAGTTTGAACTCTGACTAAAGAAACATTCCTCCACGGGGCTGGTGTTGTCTTTCACCGTTGCATCAATGATGCTGCTGTTTTCTTTCTTCATGCTTCCTACTAAATGGACTTCCTGCTGTTTCTCTAGAATACAGGCTTCTGAAAAGTCTGTTTCCTGGAAAAAGTCCCTCTGAAGTTCAAATGATGTACTATGTGTTTCTTTATATATTTCCTTTGTCAAGTTATTGTCAGTCTGGCTCTCAATATCTACTATAAAAAAAAAAAAACAGAAAACAAAATATCATGTAAGAACCATGTTAGAAAAAAAAAAAGAATGGTGGTAAAAGTAATAAAGAATCATAGTTAATCAGGATTTCTTGACAGTCACCACACTAGGTCAAAGAATCTAAGGTGCATCCATAAGATGGAATAATATATAGTTGGCAATCAATCAATCAATCAATCCATATATGCTGACCTGAAAAGATGTCCAAGATACACTGTTAAATGGAAAAACAAGTTGAGAAACGGATATAAATTAGATTCCATTTCTATAAAGGAAAATAAAACGGGATAATAAATACATATAGATTTGTATATGTATGCCTAGAAAACTACTGGAAGAATACACAAGAAACCGAGCAATCTGGCACAGGAAGTTTCAGCGACTTGTTTCTCCAGTGTGCTTTATACACTCTCTGTACAGTTTTGAGCATGAATGATTTAAGATGATGTTCCAGTAACATAAAAGTTAAAAGTGACAGCAGTAGAACAAAATCCTAGGTCTTCTCCACCAGATGAGCATTCTTTTTATCACACCACACTTTACTACACGCTGCAGTTTTTTTCTCAGCTGTCCATGGTTAATAAGAATGGAAACTACTTACAAAGGAAAAGGCATAGGATCCAACAACTTGTAGCAACGCTGAGGGTGGCAAGTGTTTGCAGCACCAGGAAGTGAAAGAGAAATAATCTTATTTCTTTTCTTGGAACTTAAACTCTAGGCTCTCTAAAATTCCTCCTTCACCTTCTGCTTTCTCTGCTTACAAAGGCAATCTTTAGGGGCATCTGGGTGGTTCAGTCAGTTAAGCGTCCAGCTCTTGATTTTGGCTCAAGTCATGATCTCACGCTCAGCACAGAGCCTGCTTGGGATTCTCTCTCCCTCTCTTTCTGCCCCTCCCCACTTTGCATGCACATGTGCGCTCCCTCTCTCTAAAATAAACATTAAAAAAAAAAAAAAAGACAATCTTTTGGCCCGCTTTATCCCTTTGATCCATCTCTTCCCACCCCTCCAGAACACTGCTGCATTCTCCTGGTCTTTCCTTCTACTTCCTCCCTCAATCCTGAAAGTGGTCAGTCCCTAACGTTCTTTTTAGAATTCCTACAGTTCCAATGGAGCCAGGATCTGTCTTTGCTCCCAAATCTCTTAAAATTGGCCTCAAAATGCTGCCTGTATTTTTTCATCTCCCATCTCTCCTCAACCACATGTAATAAGCCCACTTCCCCAGTATTTCTCCCTCAAAAGATCCAAATGACCTAGATTTCCCTAGCAAGCATTTTCAAAATACTGTTGGTCTTTTCCCAATTATAAAACTAATATTCATCTCTAATATCAGAAACATGCAAAGAAAAAAATTCAAATTACCTGAAATACAACCACCTAACAACAACTACAGCTAATCTTCTGATGTATTTCCTCCCTCAACCATTTTCCTTCCAATCATTCTTCTAAAAACATTTTTTCAAAAATGAAAATATTTTTCTTTCCTAACATTAATAAGGATAATTTTCCAGTATCTTTAGATATTCTGTAAAAATATTTTAAAGGGGTGCCTGGGTGGCTCAGTCGGTTAAGCGTCTGACTTCGGCTCAGGTCATGATCTCACAGCTCGTGTGTTCGAGCCCCGCGTCGGGCTCTGTGCTGACAGCTCAGACCCTGGAGCCTGTTTCAGATTCTGTGTCTCCCTCTCTCTCTCTGACCCTCCCCTGTTCATGCTCTGTCTCTCTCTGTCCCAAAAGTAAATAAACGTTAAAAAAAAAAAAAATTTTTTTAAACTTAAAAAAAATTTTTAAAAATGGCTAAATAAGCATTCCATCCTAAAGAGGCATGTTAATTTAATCAATTATCTCTATCCTGATTATTCAGGTTATTTCCAACATTTTATTATATAAAATTATGATGAACTTCCATGCATGTACATCTTTGTTTATATCCCTGATTATTATCAGGACACCCTAGGAGGGAATTTCCAGGCTATCGAGGACAAACTTTTAAAAGGCTTTTGATATGTATCGCTAAAGTACTTTCTAGAAAGACTACTGATTCTCATTCACCTCCAGAAGTCTATTCCAGTTTGGTGTATTCTCTCCATCCCTTACTATAATTGTTCTCAGTATGAGCGAGGAAAACTGAGGGGACTCCATGAAAAACTACTTGCTTCTGTTCCTGCTTCTCTTCTTTCTAGGACCTGCACTTTGGCCACGTACATGCCTTATGGAACAAATGATGTATGTCCTTCCTGTGTGAGTTAGAAGTTAATGATTTTTTACACTCTTCCAGCACAGGTGGTAACATCTATGGAATGACTAAGCAAGGCTGTCATGTATGTTTTCCAGACCACTGACTCTAGACACCTGATGCCAAAACCCCCTGGCAGCAGGGAATAAGTGAATTATGGAGGACACCCGGACACTTGTCTTTGTTCTGACCAGTTCCTGGGTGCCATGTACATTCTGAATAGAAACCCCAGACCCTGAGCAAAGGAGAGACTCACTCTCCTTTCTTTTCTCAGTCTCCCAGACACTCATCTGCTATACTCTATCACTTATGCTATTCAGTAAACTCTGCTTTCACTTTATCCTGCCTCGCAACTTGATTTCTATCCTGCTCAAACCAAGGACCATCTTTGCTGGCCCTGCAGACCCTCTCTGGGTCTTCAGACCCACCCTGCCTATGTCAAGTATGTTAGGTGAAACATCTGTTTTAATTTCTTTTTCATTGCTTTCTATTGAGGGTGAAGATTTTTCATTGATTTAAATTTGTACTTCTTATGTGGATCAAACATTTATATTCTTTGCCAATTTTTCTATACTAGTGACCTTCTATTTGCCAATCCTACAGTGTGAGAGATGCTACCGGTTTCTTAACCAGTATCCATTCTCCCTTTCTTCCTTACTAGCACAGCCTCCAATGTGTTTGAGGTAGCAGTAAAAACTACAGCTAAAAACTATTTTCTGCCCTCTCCTGCAGTAGGGGGACCAGAAGACACAGTTGTAGCAAATGAGATATAAACAGATGTCACTATGTGGGCCTTCTGAAGAAGCTTTTTAACAGAGAATCAACTCGGCTGACATGGGCCTTGTGCCCTAGGCCTTCCCCTTCTGTCTACCTAAAAAGCCATCTGATTCCTCACTCCAATTAACAAACACAAACTAATTGGATTGATGTTCCCATTCTCAGCTAAGATCACGATGGGTTATTCAAAAACTTTAAAGACTTCAGGATTGTCTGTTGCCTATGGAATGAAATCCAGACTCCTTTGAGGAGATCCACGATTATATGGAGCTTCCTCCATATTATATGCAATGTGCTTTAAACTCTTGATTTTGCAAAACATGTCTTCCTTTGTCAGGAATCATCTGGTTGAATGACTACAAGGAACAAAAATCCACTGAATCTTTAAAGGATTCATGGGACACTTGAGTGGCTTAATCAGTTAAGTGTCTAACTTCAGCTCAGGTCATAATCTCGTGGCCCATGAGTTCAAGCCCCACATGGGGCTCTGTGCTGACAGCTCGAGCCTGGAGCCTGCTTCAGGATTCTGTGTCTCCCTCTCTCTGCCCCTCCCCCACTCATGCTCTGTCTCTCCCTCTCTCTAAAATAAACAAACATTACAAAAAAGTTTTTTTAAGTAAATAAATAAGAGGATTCGTTGAAAGGACACAAGAGAATCTTATGGACCACAAACGCAGAGAAGTAAATAGGAAATCACAAGAAATGGGAAATCGTCTGGCAACTACTCTGTTTAAGCCAATGAGAAGCTTGCTACTTCAAGTAAGATCTGGGAAACAGATACATTGGCAGAACCTGAGAATTAACAGAAATGTAGACTCTTGGCCCCATGCCAGACTTACTAAATGACAATATGCATATTTACAAGATACCCAGAGGTGATTCATTTGCACATCATTTGAGAAGCACTGAACTGAGAGCACTTCCTTCCACCTTATTTCCCACAGCTTAAGCTGTCTTCTCCACAAAAAAAAATAATAAAAACTAATATTTCACTGAGCACACACTATAAGTTACACATTTAATATGTATTATCTCATGTAATCCTCAACCCACAAGACTAGCACTGTTCTCTCATTTTATTATTCCATTTTCAGGGATAAAAACATTGAATCTTAGAGAACTCAAATAACTGACCTACTCAAAGTCACAACTAGGAAATCCTGTAACTAGGAATAGCAGTTGGGATTGAACCTCAGGGAAGTCTACTCCAAAGACTGTACTTTTAACCACCAGGCTATTCTGCCTTTCTGTACAAAAAGACTGTTAATTCTCCATCCATCACATTAAGTGTACAATGTTTAGAAAGTAGCAAGGACCCCAAAATACTGAATCCATTCATTTCATCTGAGAAAGGCAGAATTCCAAAATTAGAACTGAAAAGAATTAGAATAAGGCATTTGAAAAAAAGATCTGTTCTTGGAATTACAAAGAAACAGCAAACTGCAAAAATAATCAGGTCTCAACTGTACATATCTCTATAAATCATCAACATTATTTAAATTTTATTTTCTACAGCTGGCTCATAAATGTGGCATGCTTATATGTTGCTAACGTTGGTTTTCTTCCTAAAGAGTTTAACTCCCCCATAAAAGGCAGCTGTGTGTCCCTTACCAGTCCAGACACCCTGGGAGCCTATTTCTGTTCCAGCCACCAGTGGAGATGGGTCCCCCAGCTCACCTGCTCCCTCCAGTTGCAATATCACAGCAGGTTTGAGAAGCGAAAATCCTGTTTAGGGGGAAAGAAAGAGGAGAGAGAGGTGAATAATCTCCCAGAAATGAGTTCTTAAGCCTCTTCTCCAACTGTCTTGGCAATGGGAAGGGAAAATAAGAGCTGTAGGGGATCCCATGCCTAAAGACGACAGGAAAGGGGGGAATGGCTTGGAAAGTGTATGTGTGTATGTTGCGGGGTGGGGGGAGGAGTGCCTGAGAAGGTGTGGGAGGAGTTGGGAATGGCCTGGACTGTAAGCCCGAAAGACCAAGATATGCAGGTCAGATGAGGGTGAATGTGAAGATAATGCTGTGGAACAGTAAGTTTCTTTTTCCCACACTGTATCCAAACCACAACTTCTAGAGGATGGATAAAGAGTGCACACTAGTCCCAGCAAAATCCTATATTGGCCCAATAAAGGCTTGGGATTCACCCTTTCCAGCAACCCCTAACTCAAGGGGGATTAGGAATCTCAACCCCTGGGGTTCCGACTCAGTAAAGGATTTCTACAGACCCCACCTGCAACCTGTCAGGGGTCAATAAGCCGGGAAACCCCAACTGGCAGAGTCTGGGTCCCAGGGGGAGAGAGGCCTTACCCAGGGAGGCCACATTTCCATAATTCTCCAGCATCACATCCCTGTACAGGGCCCTCTGTGCAGGGGACAGGCCATTCCATTCCGTCTGAGTGAAGTACACAGCCACGTCCTCGAAGGTCACCGACTTCTGAAACAACAGGTTCCTGCTGCCCTAGGGCCAGTTCCATGGCTCAGGCCCTAGGTGAGGGGCAGAGGGCAGTATAAGGGCTTGGGGAGGGAGCTTGTGAAGAGCACAAAATTAATAAAAAAGTGAAAGGTTTGAGAAAAAGCACCTGGAAAGTAAACCATGGAGAATTATCTGACCTTTCTCATGGCAGGGAAACCTCATGCCATATTTTACATTTATATCCTAAGTTGGGATGACAGAAAAAAATTCCCATAATCAAGTTCCCCAAAAGCAACTCCATTCTTTCTGCTAACCATGTCTTCAGGGGCAGATACGGCTCAGGACTTGCCCACCAGCATGCCCACCCTGATCCCTACCCCCATAAACATCCAGCCACCCCCAGAGAACAGCTATGGCCTCCATCTCAACCAGCCCCCATCTGGATTCCTGTCACTGACCCTGCCACGAGGGGCTGTGCAACTGCCTGAGCACCTCTAGCAGCTCAGTGCTGCCCAGACTGGCTGAGGCAGGAACGGCAACCCATTCTGCTTCCAGATGGGTCTTGCTGAAAACCCGATTTTGTTACACGCTCCCATCAGGCCTCATCCTTTCCAACTTTACCCAAGAACTCACTGTTTCTCCAGGGTTCGGGAAAGAGGGTAGATCAGCCTTCCTAGTGGCCAGGTGCTCTGCCACCATTCCAGCTGCTCATCTCTGCATCACTACACCGTGCACCCGGCACAGGCCCTGCATCAGGATTGATGCCTCCCTTCCGGGCAGCTGCGGCCTCTGGTTGCGCTTTCTCCCTGCCCACCTCAGTCCTCTGTAATAACCTGGGTGACACACTGGCAGGGATATACCCTCAATTCCTTTCTGCCAGGATTTTGCTTGATTCTACTGACCCCCACCCATCAACAAGCATAGTCCAACCACTGGGTGAGTCTAAGTGTCACTCATCTGTGACCTTGGATGGGCCAAGGAACTTCTCTGCACAAAATTAAATACCTTCACTGCCCACCACCACCACCCTTTACCCCAGCAAGTTGGAGGCTCCTGAATTCAACCCAACCCCACCCCACCCCACCCCACCCCACCCCACCCCCTCCACTATCCGTGCAGGAAACGTCAGCTAGAATCCTGGGAAATGTTCCTGACTCCTCCCTCTCTCTTACTCTACCCTCAATCCTGACTCTCCATATCCTAAAGATTTTGTTAAGCATTACTTGAATTGGGTTCTTTTTTTTTTTTTTAACTACTTTCCTTGATGAAGCCCATTATCACCTGGACCAATGGAATTCTTTCTAAGTGGACACCTTCCTCTTGAATCACCCTGAAAATTATTCCCTACACAGCCATGACAAATCTGACCACCTTAACGTCACTGATTGCACAGGTCACAGGAATGAGCAGAGAAGAATCAAGTAACAGCTGTGTGACTTTGGGCAAGGCTCTCTGCTCCCCTTTGCCTTCCTATGTTTTGTAGCAGAGTGAGCACAACACAGCACCTATGTCAAGGGCAAGGAATCAAGACTGAGCGATCCATGTAAGTGCTTAGTATTATGCCTGCAGCATAGCAAGCCGCAAACAATGCTACTGGAATTACTGTGACTATGATTATTCCCAACCTGTAGTCCATGGAGGTCCATGGATGTGCTTCAGGGTGTCCGTGAAGTCCCTGATATTGTATGGAAAATTTGGTTTGCGTGCTTATTTTTCTAAGGGAGGGGGAGGGTCCAGAGCTTTTATCAGAAACCTAAAGTTTGAGCCCCTGCACCCAAGCCCTGAAAGTCTCTCCAGGACACAATGAGACATCCTGTCCCATAGGACTTCCTGTTTTTTCCCTCTCCAGACCCCACTACCCTCGTCTCCACACCATATTAGAGGCACAGCCATCCTTTGTGTTGACCTGGTCCTACTACTCCTTTTCACCTATGCCCTGGTTTCTGGACATCCTAAGCCGGTGCTACCCTCCTCCATTCACATCCGTGCACGGAGCATCCTCCATGGGCAGCTTCCTGTCGCCTATTCACCAGAGGAGCAAAGAACCTCAGTGTGCAGAACACTTCACCCCTGCCTTCAGGGATGCTCTCCTGCTGCTTCCATCCCTTCACGTCACCGCTCTTCCCATGAGTTCCAGGTGGAAGCGAGGAAGACCCTTCCAACTTCCATCACAAAGCTCACCAGCTTCCCTTCTTCAATGTGAAACTGCTCAGAGGAAGAGCTGAAGGACCCACAGCTCACCTGGGGCCAGGCTGTCAGGAGCATGGCTGCCATTACCTGCTCTCCCTCTCAGAGAAGGCCTGGAGCTGAGGAAAAACAGAGAGACAGATGTGAAGCAAGTCCCGCCCCTGCAGGAACAACACAGCCCCTCAGAGATGTGAGACACAGGCAGCCAGTGTCCAGACAGGAATGCAAGCGGGAGCTGCCACAAGAAGGGGGTGATCCAGTGCCCAGGACCCCTCCCACCGATGACATTGATCCTAGGAACCCTAGGGTTTTACAATTCTGACACATATCACATACACTAGAGCATACATAAAATGTATAGAGAGCCTAAAGAATAATAAAGCAACAATTCAGCTCAAGAAATAGAACATTACCAAGATCATGGACTTACTTCTTTTTCTCTAAACAAGGATCATCCTCGATTACACTGCAAGGGAAGCCAGGCCAGCACGGCTGCAGCCCCAGCACAGAGGCCTGAGAGTCATGCTCCAGGGAGCTGGAGGAGACAGCTATTCCCCTACATCCTGCTTATTCCCTTACATAACTGAGTGTTCTCAAGAGCCCTGATACCTCAGGAGAGATCTTGGGAGGCCAGCCTCCCACATGGCCCAGGTTTACCTTTGGGGTCCCATGCTGCCTCCTCATACTTTCCAGCCCTCTGATAGTGAAGAAGCCAGGGCCTCAGCATCCTGAGGGGTCACTCAATTATCTAGGGTCCCGTGACCGAGCACTCCTTGTTCATTGTATTCAAAACACATGGACTGGTTATTTTCTGGTTACTGCTCCCAAAGTCAGTCTTGAAAACCTGTGTTTTCCTAAAATATCATCTATGTCTTCTAGGGTTTCACTTTAGTGCAGAACTGTGGAAAACACTGGTTCATGATTCGTTCCATTTCTTCCATATCTGGAACTACTTTGTTTTTCCCACTTCTTTTGAATATGTGTGCTTTCTAGACCCCTTCCCCTTTGTTAATGTTATGGATGGAACATGTCTCCCCACCCCCCCAAATTCATATGATGAAGTCCTCTCCCCCAACATGACTATATGTGGATATAGATCCTATGAGGTAATAAGGTGAAACAAAGCCATAATCTGAGAGGTCTGGTGCCCCTATAAAAAAGCAGAAGAGACACCAGAGTTCATTTTCTACCATGTGAGGACACAATGAGAAGACAGCCAACTGTAACTCAAAGAGAGCCCTTATCAAGAACCGAATTGTGTGGCATCTTAATCTTGGGCTCCCAGCCTCCAGAACTGTGAGAAATAAATCTCTGTGGTTTAAGCCAAATATCTTACTGTATTTTGTTACGGCAGCCTGAGCAGACTAATAAAGTCAAGTGGAACAATGATTTGTCTATTTGAATGTTGTTTTCTTTTATTTTTAAAGAATAAGCTTTTCTATTTATTTAGAACATCACTCCTCTATTTCCTTCATTACGTTCTGCTTTCTTTGTTTCTTTAGCTCTGTAAGAGATACTTTATGTACCACTCCAAATCCTCTGGTCTCAGCCCAGTTCCAGAGGCTTTGATCAGCTTTGCACAGGGACAACCTACCAATGCCTCCTCAAGGATCTATACCACATGTGGCTGGCTCCTGCCCTGGGGCTTTTCTGGCATCCTGTGTGGGACATCTGCAGATACCTGTGGATACCTGCTAGGTCCCGAAACACAGACAAGTTAAGGCTTGTGAGGCCACCCTTGACCAATAGGGGATACAAGTCAATGGATAAATATTTTACCCTTTAGTCCCCTACATTAGCAGCCATGAGATTCCAAGGCTGCTCAAAGATCCTGCAAGAATGAGCGCCAGGGGCCTATAGACAGGCCAGCCTGACAACACATCCTTGTATTGGCTCTCCCTCCTCTGTTTTACTCCCCTTGCTGTTCACTCTGCCCTTGGAATACATTCCCAAATAAAGTGCCTGCACAGAAACCTCTGTCCTGTGTTTTGCTTCTGGGGGAAGCTAGACTGCAAAAGGTTTTTTTCTACCTTCCTGAGGATGCATGATTTATTCATTTATGTTTATTCTTTACTATTTAGCAATTAAAATCTGTATGGCCATAAATTTTCCCTCTGAATACACTATTACCCACAGGCCAGAGGTTTTGAAAAAAATATTTTATGTTTTAATTATATTAATTATATTTTATAGCTGGTCAGCAACTGTGTTTTGTCTCTGACCACAGAATTGTTTAGGATAGTTTGTTATTAATTTCTTCTCTGTTCATAATTTTGGCTTTATTGCATGGTGTTTAAATAACCTGATCTATTTACTTCTGCTTTACAAAGTTTTGGGGGCTTTTTGTTTTGTTTTTTTTAGCTGAAATGCCTAAAAAAAATTCTATGAATGCTTTTAAAAAGAAAACCTATCCTATAATGGAAGAACATATAATTCTATTTCAATCTAATAAATCAACTCTACTTATTTTGTTATGTAGATATTTTTCTGTAATCCATGATCACTTTTACCTAATTAAACTGAGATAGCCAGTAAAGAGCAAATGCTCACAAAACAATGAACCCACATGTATCATGAACAAATCTTTTCAAGTCTTTAAGAAACGAGTAGTTCTAACAGTACTGAAACTGTAGACAAAAACAGCAAAATAAGTTTTCCAGTCCTTTTTATGACAGCACAATACTGATGTAAAAACCACAGACCAGTCTCATTTATGAATACTCACAGAAAAATCCCCACTATAAAGGAATAGACTCCAGTAGTTCATTAAAGTGACATGCCATGACTAAAAGGGATCATCCCAGGAAAGTAAGTAAAGCTCAATATCAAGATACAGATTAGTATACTTTTCACATGAATAAATCAAAGAAAAATAAACACACTCTCCATCCCAACAGATGTCAAAGGAATTTAATCAAATTCAATATTCATGCCTAAATTTAAAAATGTATGCCCTAGAGAAACTCTCATATGTAGAAAATATGTACAAAATTATTATCAGTATTTTAATTAAAAAAAACTGGAAACAACCTACATATCCACTGAGAGTACATAAACTGTCTTATCTTTAAAAAAAAAAAATTATGTTTTTAGTTTACATTTGAAAGACAGAGAGAGAGAGAGAGAGAGAGGGAATGAGTGGGGGAAGGGCAGAGAGAGAGAGACACACACAGAATCCGAAGCAGGCTCCACGCTCTGAGCTGTCAGCACAGAGCCCAATGTGGGACTCGAAATCACGAATCATGAGATCATGACATGAGATGAAGTCAGACGCTCAACTGACTGAGTCACCCAGGTGCCCCTGTCCTATCATTTTTTAAATGAACATTACCCACCCCCACCAAAAAATGAACATTACCCAGCAGCAAAAATGAACAGCTCACAATTACACACAACAAAAAAGATGACTTCAGGAACATAATCTTGAGTTACAAGAGGGGCACCTGGGTGGCTCAGTTGGTTAAGTATCAGACTTTAGATATCAGCCCAGGTCATGATCTCACAGTCGTGAGATCAAGCCCCACATCAGGCTCTGCGCTGGGTGTGGATCCTACTTGGGATTCTCTCTCTTCTGTCTGTCTCTCTCTACCCCTCCCTGCACACATGTGAATTCTCTCTCTCAAAAAAAAATTAACTGATATAAAATTATAAAAATAAAAATGTTTTCTTTTTTAAAAATTGAATTATACAAGCCCCAGATGACTAGAGACACTACAATGCCATTTTCATAAAGCTCAAAAACAAAATGTTTACAGACATATTTTGTGTGATAAAATTATTTCTATAAATAGGTAAGATGACGATTAATACAAAATTCTAGTTGTTACCTCTAGGGGTAGGAAGTTGGGAGCTGGGTTGAGAAGGAGCACACAGAGAGATGCACCAATACCAGAAATGTTCTCCTCCTTAAAGGGGTGGTGTGTTCATGGGTGCTCATTTTACCATTATGCTTCTTTTTTTTTTTTTTTTTTTTTTAATTTTTTTTTTCAACGTTTATTTATTTTTGGGACAGAGAGAGACAGAGCTTGAACGGGGGAGGGGCAGAGAGAGAGGGAGACACAGAATCGGAAACAGGCTCCAGGCTCCGAGCCATCAGCCCAGAGCCCGACGCGGGGCTCGAACCCACGAACCGCGAGATCGTGACCTGGCTGAAGTCGGACGCTCAACCGACTGCGCCACCCAGGCGCCCCCCATTATGCTTCTTAAATGTCATGCTAGATGCAGTCTTCAGTATACATGAATACATGAATACATGAATAACGTTTTTTAAAAAGATACTTATCTCTATGATATGGAGTGGTTTCCAGAATATATCTTCAAATGAAACAAGCAAATGCAAAAGGTAGAGTGCTACCTTTTGTGTACCAAAAAATGGGAGTATAAGAAAATACACATGTATCTGGCCAATTGTACCAAAAAAAAAAAAAAAAGAAGGATAAATCAGAAACTAAGGAGAATGGTTGCCTCAAATATGGGTAGGAAGTGAAAGGAGCCTGTGATGCAAACAGGCTGGAAGGAAATAGGGTAGATGAGATTGGCAGGGGAAAGGAGGGCGTGACAGGCTTCTCTGAGTGTGCCTTTTTGTTCTGACACTCATAACCATAGTAATGTTTCACATATCCAAATATACAGACATTAAGCCAACCAACCAGGATGGGATAGGGTGGTGAGCCAAAAAGGAATACAAACAACAGCAAATGAGCCTAACTATACTACAATTGACTAACATAACCACACTGAAGTGGTGGGAAAGAAAAGAACTAAATAACTTTGGAAAACAGTGTTTTAACTAGATACAAGGCTAAAAAAACCTGCGCCCAAATGCTTCTTGAGGATACATGATTTATTTACTCATTTCATTCTTCCCTATTTGGCAATTAAAACCTATTAAGGCCATAAATTTTCCTTTGCATACACTACGAGCCACATTCCAGAGATATATACATATATATATATATAGATAGATACATATATATAGATATATAGATATATACATATATGTGTGTGTGTGTGTGTAATTTCTCGTGTTAATTACTATAATTTAGTGTAGTATAGTGTTTTCGTAAAATTGCTTCTCATGAAGGTATGAATGAGGAATTCTGGGGCTATTTTATGTGTATTCTAGAACTTCGCAAATAAGTGATTATAAATCATCCCCAGATCATTGTCATCCCAACGGCCCAGGAGTAGGGCCAAGTTACCTTTTGGAACGCACAGCTCCAGGAGACAGTGCCCTTCAAAAGCCGGGCTGGTTCTGCTCCCCGGTGTCTGGGAGGGCTCTGCTTTTTCTGCGCTCTCACTGAACTCTGATTCACGACCCTATGTTAGTTAGGAGTCAGGAGGCATACGGTCCATACTTGAAATGCATATAGCTAAGAGCCCCTGTACGACTTCAACATGTTAAAACACTAGTGATATCACCTCAAGCCGCTTCACTCCTGCCAATATTCCACCCCCTGGCTGCTCCGACATATCTTCCCAAAAGGTCAGTAGTATCTTCCCCGAACAAAATGCTAAATGCTCGGGGCTCCGAGGTTGTGACGGTAATCCGGCTTCGCCTTCCACGGGATGGAACGTATTCGGCCACCAAGTCCAAAGTGGGAGTCGAGGAGGGGCGGAGGAGGACCGCGGGCCGCCGTTCTACCCACTCCTGCAAGGGCGGGAGACCCATCCCCACAGCACCCACAGCTACCCGCCGGGGCACCGCCCCCGCCGCCTGCAGCCCCACACTCACCTCGCAGCAGGCGACTTCGTGGCGCGGCAGGAAGTGCGTCACCAGGCCGCGGCCGAGCCTCTCTAGGAGCAGCGTTGCTACCAGTGGGTAGCACTCTGGCCCCGCCTCTGCGCTCTGAGTCTCGGTGTCGGAGGCTCCTGCGCTCTATGCTCAGGTCCTGCAGGTCTGAGCAGCAGGGCAGTTGTTCCTCGAGGTGGGCTGGGGAAGAGTCGGGAGCCGGCAATGACGCCGGGGATCTGTATCTTAGTAAAGCTCCCGGTTCTACCGGATTCAGGAGTTTCCGGACTGGGCCAGTGGATCAATCACACGCCGACAGACCTTAAGGCAGCCTTTTTGTAACAAATATTTCCTAGTGACTGCTTTATTCTCCTGTCGTGAAACTTACGATCATGACTTAGAAGATCATAGGTAATATAAACAACCTACATTTTAAAAATTAATATTATGCTTTAATAGAGGAGATAAAATACACCTTTCAATATGCAAATGTATGCTCGTGACTGCTATAGGAGACCTAATGAAGTGGTAGATAATTTGCCTTTTCACATGGAATGTGCCTGAACGCCAAAGCCATAATGCTGTCTGTCTTACGCTGCTGTTTCAAAAATCACAAGGTACGATCCAAAATGGTGAACACTTTTTGGTAAAGTTTAAGTGAAACAGTACAATCTTCTTTTGATTTTATAGGTATAGTAATTATATTTCTGGAGAATCAACGTATGTTAATTAAAACTGTGTAGAAATCGTTGTGTTTAGGGGAACCTGGGTGGTTCAGTCGGTTAAGCCTCTGACTTTGGCTCAGGTCAGGATCTTGCGGGTCACTGGCAGTGCCGAGCCTGCTTGGGATCCTCTCTCACACTGTCTCTGTCTCTCTCTCTCTCTGCCCCTCCCCCACTTGTGCACGTGCACACTCGCTCGCGCTCTCTCTCTCTCAATCTGTCTCTCAAAATAAATGAATTAACTTAAAAAAATTAGTTGTGTCTAGCTGAAAACACTTTCTAGACTCAGGTCATTTATAAAGTTTTTACCTACATGAATGTCCTGAAAGTATGTGAAAACTATGTCAAATAAGTGGAACCCTTCTGTGCATTGCAGGATTCCTGGCTCTCCAGGCTCCCATCAAACACCACCAAACACTGTAACAAAAATACTCCGATAAAATTCCAAAATGGGAGGTGGGGAGAGGCGGGGAACAGCACTAAAAGCCACTGGATTGGACCATCCTTAGGTTCTGATCCCGCAATGCTACAGCACTGGAATGTGATTGGTGGTAGGCCCCACCCACCTCTCCAGCCTCTCACCACACCTATTCTTCCTCCTCTATCAACTTCAGCCCCACTTTCCGAACAGGGCTCCCTAAACCTAGAATACCCTTCCTACTCTCCAATCTTGACTATTCCTTGAAGTCTCTGCTCAAATCCCATTTCCCTTGGAAAGCAAGCCTTCCCTGAGCACCTAGAATAAGGCAGGCCCGCCAGTTATGTGCCATCACAGCACTCTGTATTTCTCCGTACTTGGCACATGTGTGCTTTTTTAATGATACCAATTTATTTAACTGTCTTCTCTGCTCACTCCAAGAAGCAAGGACTATATCTATCTTGTTCGACACCATTATCCTCAGCTAAAGCACAAGGCCTGGCACAAAGGAAGTATGCAACAAACATTTGTCATTGACATCGTCCAAAGGCTCCAACCCCAACTCCAGAGTAGAACCCTTCTTCATTTCTGTGCCACTAGAGGTGGGATATATATTATGCCTGGAATCATAACATTGACCAGGAGCCCTTCTCAGTTTTGCCTTGACCTTGATCATCACTGTTTTCCTAAAATGAGCACTTTCATGGCTTCTCTTGTTCAGATAGAAAAATGGTCCCAGGATTCAGCACAGTGATAGCTGGAGATTACATTGTTCTTGGCATTACATGGTTTGTTTGTTTTGTTTTTGTTGTTGTTTTCCTTTAGCAGACCTTTAGCTAGGACTGAGGGCTTGACTGAAGAAATAGGAAGGAATTAGTAGATCACAGTGTCACAGAAGTCCTGGGCCCAAATGTTAGATCATAAATCAGTCAGTCATCTTACAGATAAGAAAATAAGGCCTCCAAAGTAACCACGAAGCTCTGACTCCTAAGTGTATGAGGACAAGCACACACCAAGTTACAAAAGGCCTGAAGAAGCAGAGACCACTTGTTTGTTGATCTCTATTCTTCCCTTATATAGTAACGGAATCTATAGCAAGCCAAAGACAGTCCAGAAAAAATAACACGTTTTCTGGCTCTCTTTAAATCCAAGCGTGACAACACGACCAACTTCTGATAAACAGACTATAAGCAAAGGTGATGCCATGCCCTTAAATAGAAGGAACATGCATTTCCTGTCCCAGTATCCATCTGCTAGGTGGAACGCTGACAAGGGGGTGAGCATCTTGAACCATGTGAATGAGGATGTGGCTCCTAGGGTTGACATAGCTGCTGGGTGGTATCATAAAGCTGCTGTACCAGCCCTAGACTGCTTAACTTAATATGATACATAAGTGAGAAATAAGTTTTCATCATGTTTAACCACACTGATTTGGGTTCTTCAAATCAATACCCACAGCCATAGCCTTACCAATACCCCTAGGAATAAGGGATGATGGAAAAATCATACATACTTAAAAACAAACTTAAAAATTTAGGCTGGTTCTCATATTTCGCTGCTCTGGAAGGCTGGGCTTGCAGCCATGTTTCCCTCTGCTCGGTTCTAAGTATCCTCTGCCCCTTCAGTCCCAGGGCCTCCCTAAAACCTTTCTTCCCTTGCCCACCAGGAGAAACTGACAAATTTTCTCATGTTAAAAAAATATTTTTTGGTGTTTCTAGTCTTAAGATTACATAGTAAAGGTTGTTCTACCTGCGTTTCCTCTTGAAAATTGTGGGAAAACAACAAAGTCTGGGGTTCATTTCAAGAGTTCAAGAATGTTTCAATATTATAAAAATTCTCTTTACTTATTATGAATTAACAAACCATTCAACCTCCTATGTGGAGAAATAGGGCAGGAAGAGGTCTTATTCAAAAAAGCAACAAAGAAACCAAAAAGAACTTAAGGATAAACTTAATAATAAATGTTTAAGACACAGACGAAGAAAAATTTAAATACTCAGGGACTAAACCAACAAAAACAACAACAATAAAAACTTGTATAAATGAAAAAGCAAAGGTAATTTTTCAAAGAAAGGGCATTCATCTTGACTTGACCTGTAAGTCCAATTTCAAACTATTTTGAAAAAAAAAAGAAGAGGGGCGCCTGGGTGGCGCAGTCGGTTAAGCGTCCGACTTCAGCCAGGTCACGATCTCGCGGTCCCTGAGTTCGAGCCCCGCGTCAGGCTCTGGGCTGATGGCTTGGAGCCTGTTTCCGGTTCTGTGTCTCCCTCTCTCTCTGCCCCTCCCCCGTTCATGCTCTGTCTCTCTCTGTCCCAAAAAATAAAATAAAAAGCGTTGAAAAAAAAAATTAAAAAAAAAAAAAAAAGAAGAAAGTGGAAGGAATTGTCCTACACAAATAAAACGACAATAGGATTTGCTTGGGATCTTGTGAAGATGATTCTAAGGTTTATCTAGGGCAAAAATGTTATATATTCACAAGATATTACTAAAACAAAAATGCAAAAGGACTGAATGTTAAAGATATACCAGACAAGTATTAAGCTAAAGTAAAAATACCATTAACTATATTAATATAGTAATGAGTTTAAGACAAAAAATGTTATCAGGCAAGGTTCCATTTAAGGCAATATAGTGAAAGATATAAACTAGTATCCAGAAATTTAGGATAAGATACAATTTATGACATCATTTTATACCTAGCTCACAGGAAAGTATACCCAGGTACCAAACCTGAACAAGAAACTAAAACCAATGAGTTTAGCTGCATTGAATGCTTTGGCCAACACAAGTAGAAACAGTGGAGATTTGAAGATCTTGATACCTGAGGAGGCTGAATCATAGTATTCAGGAGGCCACATGAAACAAGTAGGAATTAGGGCTTCTCACAAACACATACACCCACTAAAATGCCTGGACCCAGGAAAGGATAAATTAGGGGGGAAAAAATCTTCCCACTAGCAAAGAGAGATAACAAAGAAGTCCTTTTGTAGGTTTTAGAGTGGTAGTGGGGATGTCCCGTAAGAATTTAGAATTATAGTCTGTATTACTGAATACATAGTTTAATACTACCTACCTGGACCAGTAACTCATAATCTAAGAACTAGAAAACTGATGAAATAGTCATTATAGATTTTGGAGACAATGGCATTTATTTTTTTTTTTTTAATTTTTTTCAACGTTTTTTAATTTATTTTTGGGACAGAGAGAGACAGAGCATGAACGGGGGAGGGGCAGAGAGAGAGGGAGACACAGAATCGGAAACAGGCTCCAGGCTCCGAGCCATCAGCCCAGAGCCTGACGCGGGGCTCGAACTCACGGACCGCGAGATCGTGACCTGGCTGAAGTCGGACGCTTAACCGACTGCGCCACCCAGGCGCCCCGACAATGGCATTTAAAGGTTATTATAACTGCATCTGCAGATTGAAAAATTAAATAGAGACATGGAAAATAGAGAAATGTCCTAAGTCAGGGGGATCTGGGTTGACTCAGTTGGTTAAGTATCTGACTCTTGATTTCGGCTCAGGTCACAATCTCACAGTTTGTGAGTTTGAGCCCCACATCGGGCTCTGTGCTGACAGTGCAGAGCCTGCTTGGGATTCTCTGCCCCTTCCCCAAGTACGTACACACACACACACACACACACACTCTCTCTCTCTCTCTCTCTCTCTCAAAATAAATAAACTGAAAAAAAAAAAAAATACACTGGACCAGAGGGGCACCTGGGTGGCTCAGTTGGTTGAGCATCTGACTCCTGATTTTGGTTCAGGTCATAATCCCAGGGTTGTGGGACTGAGCCCTTCATCAGGCTCCATGTTTGGCATGCTTGGCTTAAGATTCTCTCTCTCCCTCTGC